CAAGAGTTTGAGGTTGCTCTCTCAAAAAAAGCAGGGGTGTGGAGGGGGAGATAGCATATGAGTATAGCCAGAATCTCTCTCTCTCTCTGCCCAAGTCCTTGGTCTCAGAGATTCAAAGAATGAATCCACATACCACACAACCAATTGAAAGAACAGATTTTATTGACAGATTAAAAGATAATATAAGGAAGCCTCTGCTGCACTGAAGGGGAGACCCATGCAGTAGCCCATGTGGGCCTTCTGTCTAGGGGTTTATATACTGCTTTTCCTATTCTGTGGGCAGGGGGTGTGGGTTTGGGGGAGAGATGGAATGTTATAACCATTTGACACCAGGGGCTTAGGGTTAGACGTTATATTTAAAACTGTCCTTATATAGGAGTGCAGTCTGTTTAGGCTAGGTTCTCTGCTCAGGAAGAGGCACCATCTTGTTTAAGGTGTGCTCCCTGCTCCAGAAGAAGCAGCTTCTTGTTTAGGATGTGTTCCCTGCTCCAGAAGAAGTACCTTAGGCAGAACAATGGACAGGCTGGTTTTTATGAGCCTGTTGGTACCTGGAGAAGGGGCCTGTGATAAGATTTATGAGCTCACCCAGGCCTGGAAAATGGGGAATCCCTGTCCAGCCCGAGCAGGGGAATCCTGTATCTATCCTCCTTCTCCAAATAGAAACTGCTGTTAGGGAGAAGGGACGCCGACCGCTCTCAAACTGCTTCCTGCTGAACATGGACGAAGACAAAAGGGGGGCAGTTAGTGGTTTCTCTGAGGAGGATGATCCAGGGGTCCACAGTAAATGGAAGCTGGATTGATCGTGGTCCTGAGTAGTTAATCTAATGGTACCTAGGAGGACAACAGTTACAGCATGTAGTAGGAAAGGGACATAAAATACGGGGTACATGAGATACAACTACATACAATCCCAAAGCAAAAATAATTCCTACACCAATAACTAAAGCTCTTAACCAACCTAAATTAAGTAACCAAGAAAACAACTAAGATAAAAACCAAAAAAAAAAAAAAAGTCTTCTCTTTGGGTGACATCATTAAGTACATTTTGTACTTGTTATATATGGTGCTCTATTAATTGGGAATTGTCTGTTATATTAAAACAGCACATTCCTTTAAATTTTGCACACTCATAATTATATCTTAAAAGTAAATGATAAATAGCTGCTCAGTTTTCTAGGACAGCTTCCTGGACAGGTAGCATTCAAGGCTTTTACCATGGCACAAACTAGTCAACCCATCTCAACATTTAATCAAATTACCATTGATGGTATCACAAAGACAGACAAGGAAATATACTCAGCTGGCCTGAACATCACTCTGGCAGTCTTCTGGAAGATTAAGATTTCGGCCTGCTGGGTCACTCTAGTTTGGGTGTTATTCAGGGCCCGTGCCCTGGGCAAAGATGGTATTAATCTCCATTAGCTGGAACACCTGATAAAAAGCCTATTGCCCACACAGCAAAAACCATCCCTTAGGAATTTTAGTATGCATATTGGCATAAGATATGGTAGTCATCTTACGACATTAGAGCAAACTATTAGTTAAATTGACACAGGAGGTAGAGCAACCTGAGAACTTCACACAATCTTTTCCAGGTGTGATTTTTTTTTTTTTGAGACAGAGTCTCAAGCTGTTGCCCTGGGTAGAGTGCCACGGCGTCATAGCTCACAGCAACCTCAAACTCTTGGGCTCAAGCGATCCTCTTGCCTCAGTTTTTCTATTTTTAGTAGAGATGGGGTCTCACTCTTGCTCAGGCTGGTCTTGAATTCCTGACCTCAAGCAATCCACCTGCTTCAGCCTCCCAGAGTGCTAGGATTACAGGTGTGAGTGACCATGCCCAGCCCAGGTGTAATATTTCTTTCCTTGGTTATGTTTCCTTGGCCCCACCCATACAAATCCTGATAGGTGTAATTCTTTCACCTGTGTTCATAGAACACAGTGACGTTTATGAGCACTTCTAATGAAGTACAAACTCCTATTAAACACGATGTAAATCTACATTAGTTCCTCCTGCAAAACAAAAATCAAGACACATTCATAACATTTTTCGTCAAATAAGACCAAATGTTCTGGCTTCATTGAAAGGGCATTATATCTTGTCCCTTTCCCCAAGTTCCTAGAGTCAAAAGGGTTATGAAGAGTAGAGGAATGCATCTTGCAGCCATTTCTTTACCACCAAACTGGTCTCAACGTCCAGATGCGAAGAGCATCAGTTTCTGTTAAGGCGTGACTCGGGTGTGATGAGTCCAGGTCTTAGATTTAACTATGGTGGGAGAGGTAAAAAGCAAGATATGAACAGATTGAGCATACATTCATTCTTTTCACCTATCCTTCAGGAGCCTATACATTTAAGGTTAACATCTGTCTTTAACAAGGGAAGGCATAGGATCCTATCCCACATTCACATAAATTGCTATTCCTGCCTTAAACAGTGTATCTCTTCTTAAGAGTGGAGTTAAGACTTTTAGGTATGACTAGAAAGACATGGAAGGATAGCCAATTTCCCCAACTGTAAGAGTTGACAGAATGTTTGGTAACCGGCCTTCCAGATATCCCCTTGATAGTAAGACTTGGGGGTTAAGAATCCAGGACTTGAGAGAATTGTAGGTAGGAGAAAGCTCATAGTCAGGTGCACCTGGGGCTCTCAGGCAGTGATAAGATGAGCCAAGGCCATAAGAGGCTGTCCTGGACATCTTTAATCAAGCTCAGGGTTAAAGGAGTTTCTGTTCCCTGAGGCCTTCACCTCTGGGGACAGATAGGCTGATCTCCAGCAGTTACCCCTACAGACCTGAAAAGGGCTGGGTGGCTTGCCTGTCAGGCTACACTGCTTGACTATAGCCACTGTCTTTTTCCTTCTCTACTTTTTCCTGGTTCACTTACAAAAGGCCAATATGGCTGTTTTTAAGGAGGTGTACCAAATTATGGTCAGGGCCTAGAGCCAATTTTTGCAAACACCGCCTCATGTCTGGGGCCGTCTGAGTAATGTATTTATACTTTAAAATAACTTGGCCCTCTGAAGAGTCAGGTGTAAATTGGGTAAACCTTCAATGCCTTTCTAGGCCACTTAAGAAAAGCTAAGCAATTTCTAGCCTGCTCCTGAGTGACAGAAGGCAGCTGATAACAGTTCTCAGAGACCCACTTAGGGTCATCAAAGGTATCTTTCTCTCCATGGGGTACCTGGTCTTTTTCAGGGGATACATTGTTATGAACCACAAGAACCCCACTTTCTAGTCTTTCTTAAAACTTCAAAAATCTTACATCTTTTCACAAGAAGTTAAAATGCTGCCTTAACTCTTGGTAAACATTTACATAATTATCTGAAAAGTTTCCCAAACCATTCCTAATTTGTTTTACTTTGGCTGAAGAGAATGGAGTACACATTGAAGCAATTTTACATTACCACCCATGCAGGCTCAGAGGAAGTCTCTGGCATTCTTTTTTTTTTTTTTCCTTAGGCTCATTCTCCTGCTCCCCTAAAGGTGCTCAAGGTGGGAGAGGTATCATTGGTAAGTCAAGATAAGGTAGCATTGTCTCCCCTGGGAATTTCTGACTAACCCAAGAGACCACTAAAGCTAGAAGAAAATAAAAACCCTAACTCATAAAGTATCTAATTTCTTTAGTGTAAACCATGGCCAATTTTAATCTATCAGTGTGTCATCACTGAATATAGGTTTGATAAGACATGGCAATAATCAGCTCTGATTAGCTGGTACAAGCCAGGTCCAGCATGCCACTGCCTATACCTATAAAAGAAAATTAATTTGGTATTAAAAACTTTCCAACAACAACAAAAAAACCTTGCCAAGAAAACTCCAGGCCAAGATATATTCACTAGGTAATTATATCAAGCATTTAAGGATAAAATAAACTGTAAACAATTTTTTTTAGAAAGTAGAGGAAGGGTCACGCCTGTGGCTCAAAAAGTAGGGCGCTGGCCCCATATGCTGAAGGTGGAGGGTTCAAACCCAGCCCCGGCCAAAAACTGCAACAACAACAACAACAAAAGAAAGTAGAGGAAAAGGACTCCTCTATACATAAGGAGACCAGAATTACTCTAACATCAATACAAAAACATTACAGTAATTGTAAAAATCCTTAACAAATTTTTGGGAAACCAAATCTAGCAATATATAAAAAGTATATGAATTTATCATAGTCCAATCAGTTTTATCCCAGGAATGCCAAGTTTGTTGAGCATTTGGTGAAAGTCAATTTAACTCAAAATAGGTACATATTAACATAATAAAAGGGAAAAATATGACCATCTCAATAAAGGAAAAAATATTCATTTATGATCAAATCTCTCAAGGAACTATGAACTAAAAGGAAATTCCTTCACGTGAAATAGGGCATTTTTTAAAAAAAACTACAACTGACATCATACTTAAAAGACTACATAGTTTCCTTCTATGATCAGGCTACTCAACAACATACTAGAATCCTACATAGTGCGGTAAGACAAGAAAAAAGAGGAAAGGAAGAAGTAAAAAGTATTAAAAAAAAATTGTCTTTATTTGCAGGGAAATCATGACCATGTACCTAGAATGTCCTAAGAACCTACAAAAAGTTATTAGTACTAGTGAATTTAGCATAGTCTAAGGATTTATTTTTTTAAAGTATCAAAAATATAATGATGTCCTAATATGTATCATGTATATGTATTTACAGATCAGATACTTCTCATTTAAGAGAAAGTAGAAATTATTTAAAATGAGGAAGATGGATAAGGGATGAGCTATATTATCCAATGCAAATTACATTAAAAGCCAAATATAAACAGAAGTGAAATTTTCCTGAAAGGAAATAAAATATTCACTATTCCCCTCCCAAAGTAGGTAAACCATACTAAAGAAAAAAACCTATAAGAATTTGAGACACTCTCTCACTTTGATATATGTAAAAAAATAATCTTCACATTAAAAAAATAATTTCCATGTTGTCTAAAGTTTTAGGGTTATGTAGTCAGAAATATATAATTCTACTTTTCATGGACAGGTCAGCTAGGGGAAGTAAGTTAGCACAATCATCTGAATTGGTTGTCTACATACTGGGCAGGGCTTATTCCTTTTCTTTAGCTTTTTCGCACATGTAAAGCATGCCATAAGATGACCTGTTCTGCCATGGACAATGCAACCATTTTTAGGTCGACCTTGGCAAATCACACAAGGTTCAGTGGCACTAAGAGGAAAGCTATATTCCATACTTTGTTGTTTGTTTGGTGTTTCTTCTCTCTTAAACTCTTTGACATTTTTTTGTTTGCTATAAATAATGCTATTAGAAGTTGATGGCTGAGAGTAGTCCTCATGTTCTTGTGATTGGGAGGCTTGAGTGATTTTATTATCATTTTCCTCCACAGGTGACTCTTTGGAATCATTCACTGTAGTTTTTCTACAATCTGGAACATCAAAGCCCTCTTCTGCTTGTGCTGAGTTTTCTAATTTGGCTTTCTCAGAAATAGCCCCTCTATCTTTATCTTTAGGAAGACAATTCTCACGCAGGACCCAACATTGGTTGCAATGTGGTACAAGGGGAGGATTCATTTTATTGCATGAAGTACATTTCCAATAGTCAGGTAAAGAAACTGCAGAGTCGTCTTCAAATGAATCTGTATCACTCTCTCCTGTCTCATACACAGTAACTTGATATAACCCATCATCTTCATCTGAGACTTCTTGGTTTTCTTCACTAAGGCTATAATCTTCTGAATCAAGAGATTCAACTTCAAATTCTACACTAAATTGATCTGAAACTGAATCCTGTTCCACCCAATCACCTGAATGTTCACTTACACCAGCATCAAGATCTGGATTTGATGGAGACCCTGTAGATTCACTGCTACTGCTTCTTTCACAACATACCCCCCTTATTACACACATAGCCATGTTTTCATCTAAGGAAAAGGAAATACTATCAGACTTGTGACGTTTTCTTTGTCGTTCACCATTGAATTCATCTGAATATAATTCTGTCTCACTAACTGTTCTCCTTCTAGATGAGGTAGATGGTCTGGAAACCAAATCTGAACATGAAGGTTTCTCTTCCTGTAGCTCCTGCACAGGATCCTTTTGATTACTCCCACCTTCAAGGTGCCCTCTGTTCTCTCTCACAGATGTACCTGAGTCTGATGATTCCTGCTGATTGACTACTACCAAGTTTCTGTAGATCATTGTATATATTTTCCTGTGCTCTTTCACAGAGAAGCTTGGCACTCCAAACAAATCTCCTAGAAGATCATTTGAACAATATACAATATGTTGTTGCTTCTCATCATATAATCGTTTAGTCATAATATACTGGCCAAGATAATATATAACCTCTTTCATTGTATAAATGTCTTTTTGTGCACCAACAGACTTTAACAACTTCAAAAGCAAAGGTTTTGGTCTAACCAGGGTCTCTTGTTCCGAGGCTGGAACCTGTGAGGTGGTTACATCAGTAGGTACAGACATGTTGGTACTGCACATTTACCTGCTCCTCACCATGCAGGGGTTTTCGTGCCTCGAGTTATTGGGGGAGTCCCTTGAGGCACCCCAGTTCCCTTCACGGGGCGTGTGGATGCCCTACACCCTGGGCCTTGGCGACTATTCCACTCTCGGGGCCCAGGCCACTAGGGAGCTGGAACACACTAGTCCGGGGAAGAAGGAGGCTCCTGGTGGCAGGACCTCAGTAAGAAAGGTCAGGTCCGCCCCTAAGGTTTGGTTTCTGGCTCCATCTTCCTTCCAGTCACACAGGGCTGCACAGGCCCCAAAAGGAGCCGAGCTCACCGAAGATCTAAGGATTTAAAAGGTCAATATACAAAAATCAAGTATATATTTTATATACTAGAAATTAAGCAATTAGAGGACAAAAATTTAAAGTATCTTTTGCAATGGCATCAAAAAGTATGAAATAATTAGGGATGAATTTTATGAACTATGTAAAGATTTGTAAATTGAACACTATAATACAGGATGTCCATAAAGTTCATGTGCAATTTAAAATACTGTGCAATTTAAAATGGACATGAACATTATGGACACCCTGTATATCACTGAGAGTAATTATGGAAGATCTAAATAAATGAATAAGTATACAAATATACCATGCTCATATATCAGAAAAATTCAGTATTATCTAAGTGGCAATTCTCCTGAGATTGATCTATATATTCAGTATAATTCCAATTAAAATCACAGCTAATGTAAGCCGAAAGAGCTACAACAACTAAAAGTAATATAGTATTCTAGACAGGATGAAGGAACAGAAAAAGGACATTAAGTTAAAAACAAAGAATAATTTTTTCTTTTGGAGATAGTCTCACTCTGTTGCTCAGATCAGAGTGCCGTGGCATCAACCTAGCTCACAGCAACCTTAAACTCCTGTGTCCAAGCCATCTTCCTGCCTCAGCCTACTGAGTAGCAGGGACTACAGGCACCCACCACAATGCCCAGTTAATTTTTCTACTTTTAGTAGAGGTCTCTCTCTTGCTCAGGCCAGTCTCAAACTCCTGAGCTTAAGGCATCCTCCTGTCTCAGCCACCCAGAGTGCTAGGAGTACAGGTGTGAGCCACCACCACCAGCCAGAAACAAAGGAAATTTGAATAAAGTATGGACTTTAATGATCCTGTATCAATATTAGTTTGTTAATTACAACAAACGGAACATATTAATGTAAAATGTTAATAATAGGAGAAAGAGGGTTTATGATATGAGAATGCTCTGTACTTTCTCCTCAAATTTTCTATAAATCTAAAACTATGCTTTAAAAAAAATCTATTTAAGGAAGGAAAACCATGATAATTCAAAAGAAAAACCATAGAAGAAATGAGCTGTATTTTAGTAGCTTCAATGATACATTTTTCTTGCTTTTTGAACAAGGAGACTTGCATTGTCATTTTACATTAGACAAATATGTAGCCAGTTCTGCCTCTGTCCCAACCTCTTTCCTAGGCCTCAGGCAGGGGTTGTTCTGGGTGTTTCTAAGAGTCCTTGAAAGGCCAAGAGTAAACTGTGAGTATGTTGTAAGCCAGTAGGGAAGGCCAAAATAGAATGAGTTTTGGGAAAGGAAACAACAGCAGCCACCATTTGGAGGAGATGCCCACTCAGGCCAGATGGTGTTCCTATGCAAAGCCCCTCCTCAACATGGTGGGCAGGGTGGAATCATAGAATCCTAGAGGTCGAGGGGACTTCACTTACTGTTCTACCACAGCATCTCCCTTCACATTTTAGAGATAAAAAGGCCAAAAGAGAGGCACAGAGAAGGCTAGGAGGTTCCCATGGCTGCAAAGCCTCCAGTGAGTGAAGTGACAGCATGAGTCCTGGCCAGCCAAGCCTAATATTGTCTCCCTTCAGCCCAGGTCAGCACCTGCCTTCCTGTCCCTGTGCATTTCCACCAGCCTGAGTAACTACCCACCTTTCCTCAGCGCCCCTTCCTTGTTTCTCTGGGCATATACAGTGTGTGCGTGTGTGATGTATCTGTGTGTCTTTAGGCCCCAGTTAGGATGAGGCCAGAAGCAGAAAAGAGAAGGCTCTTGTCATTGCACTTCCCACTTGGATATTTCCCCTGGGGCAATGGTGGAGGAGGAGAGCATGAGAGTCACAAGCTGCACAGGACTTGTTGCAGTCAATACCTGCAAGGTTGAGACCAGGTACTGCCATTAGCACCAATAGGAAAGAATGCAGAGGCAGCAGCCCCAAGGAGAACCTGTGGGCTGCAAAGTGACACCAAGGGGACTCAGAGGAAGGGAGGGCTCTGTTCCTGCCACATAAGTGCAGTCTCCCCAGCAACAGGAATCTCTGCACCAGAAACCTACCCCTGGCTTCCTCAAATCCTCCAGAGAAAAGCCACACTGCTAGAGACCGTTGTCATGGCAACAGGTGCCCAGTACTGGCTGCCTTACCCCCTTCCTGCCTGATTGCTGTCTTTTCTGATATCTTCAACTCCTGCTTTCTGAAAAGGTTTGTGCTGCCCCATGATGGCTGTGTGTAAATGCAGCTGAGCCCACTGCTCAGGAGCAGTCTACCAAGTGGTTAAAAGGCACAACCTCTTCATGCCACATGGCCTCAGTTTTAAATTTCATCTTGGCCATCATCTGGATTTTCATCATGCCAATTTGTAACCTCACAGAGCTCAGTTATCTCACCTCTAAAATGGGTTCCTTAGACTTAAACCCTCACTAGAAACAAAGCAATGTTTTCATAGGAGCCTAAAACACCAGTATGAAATCAAATTCATAGGCAGGGTTGTTTCACAGCCTTCACTGCCATGTGGTATAGTAGACCACATTTCTTTGTAACAAATGGCAACTATTTATCTTATTCTGTCTTGTGAGTCCTTCTCTCAAAGAAATCTCAAATCAGCTACTGCTGGGCAGCCCATATAAAGATCCTGTCTTCATTCTTCCTTTCCTGCTTCTCTCTCCTCACATTTCCCTATCTGCCCTCCACATTTACCAAGTTCTCATCGAAGAATAATTATACTGGTTTGGGAGTTTTCAGGGACAATTGTGTCTTCTATTAACAGCACTAGAAAGCAAATAATCCCTCCATGAGAGGCTGCAATGAGAGATGAGGCAAGGGGAATTGGCCTGGCAGGGAATACAGCTGGCTGCAACATACAACAAGAAAAGTAATTTTTTTCACTTAGAGTAATTACTGTCTACTTAGATCCCCCCTACATCTTTCCTGAACTTGCTGACTTTATCATCTTATTTAGTACTAATGGAATGCTTTAACTTAATATTTTGTAGTTAATATACTTAATGCAAAATCTGGATTCAAAGAATGAGGGAATGACTCTAACAAGACAACATTTAATCCAGAAAAAAAAAGTTTCTATACCTGAGTTAAAATTAAAATTATTTACAGAAGTATATTAACAGGTAGATATATGAAACAGATTTTGAGGGTCTCAACTGACTTAAACTGGATCCAATTGTATGATATGGCATTCACAAAGCCTACTATGATCTTAGGACACATCTACAGATATATAATGCATTTTTTAGAATGAAACGGGTAACGAGATCACACTATTCTACACTAGGCAGAATATTCAGTATTTTTACAAACATTTACAAATTAGAGAACATGTAAAATCATGAATAACTTTGAAAAAATATGTCACATCAGAAATAGCTGAAATAAGTGGGGAGGTTAAACCTTAAAAAGTCTTGATAACTGTTTAAGGGTTATGGGATATAGCATATTGAATATTTTTAGCAAAAAGTGCTCAGTTTGTACATATATATAGGCTTGGTGACATTGCTCAGTGGTTAGGGCACTGGTGATTCGAACGTGGCCCAGAGGCCTACTAAACAACAATGACAACAACAAAAAAATAGCCCGGCATTGTGGCAGGTGCCTATAGTCTCAGCTATTTGGGAGGCTGAGGCAAGAGAATCAAATCACTTAAGCCCAAGAGTCTGAGGTTGCCGTGAGCTATAATGCCACGGCACTCTACTGAGGGCAACACAGTAAATCTCTATCTCAAGAAAATAAATAAACATTAAAAAAAATATATATATATGTATGTGTGTGTATACATGTGTATATATATAATTTTGACACAGATTCCCTCCCTTTGTCACCCTCAGTAGAGTGCCACGGCATCGTAGCTCACAGCAACCTCAAACTCTTGGGCTGAAGGGCTCTTGCCTCAGCCTCCTAAGTAGCTGGGACTATAGTCATCCACCACAATGCCTGGCTATTTTTAGAGATGGGGTCTACTCTCTTACTCAGTTTGGTCTCAAACTCCTAAACTCAGGCAATCCACCCACCTCGGCCTCCCAAAGTGCTAGGATTACAGGCATAAGCCACCACACCTGGCCTTAATTTATATTAATATTAAAAGAATGTTTAGCCAGGTGCGGTGGTTCATGCCTGTAATCCTAGCACTCCGGGAGGCTGAGGTGGGTGGATAGCTTAAGCTCACAGGTTCAAGACCAGCCTGAGCAAAAAGTGAGACACCCTCCCATCTCTACTAAAAATAGAAAAACTGAGGCAAGAGAATTGCTTAAGCCCAAGAGTTGGAGGTTGCTATAAGTTATGATACCACAAGACTCTACCCAGGGTGACAGCTTAAGACTCTGTCTCAAAAAAAAAAAAAAACCAGAATGCTAATTAGTATTATTGTTAGTACTACATCATACTAATATCACTATTCTTATATAGTTAACGCTTTTAGAGGGCTTTCTGCATGCTACGGAACTATTCCAAGTTCTTTACATATGTTGAATCACTGATTCATTTACTCCTCTTGTCAATACTATAAGGTAGAGGCTCGGCGCCTGTGGCTCAAGTGGCTAAGGCACCAGCCACATACACCTAGGGTGGTGGGCTAGAATCCAGCCCGGGCCCGCCAAAACAATGGCTGCAACCAAAAAATAGCCAGGCGTTGTGGCAGGTGCCTGTGGTCCCAGCTACTTGGGAGGCTGAGGCAGGAGTCTTGCTTGAGCCCAGGAGTTGGAGGTTGCTGTGAGCTGTGATGTCACGACACTCTACCCAGGGGGATAGCTTGAGGCTCTGTCTCAAAAAAAAAAAAAAACACTATAAGGTAGATAAGACTTATTATTGTCTCCAGTTTTGTAGATGAGGAAGCTGAGTCATAGAAGATTAAGTAGCTTGCTCAGTGTTTCTCACAGACAGGAAGAAAGAACCAGAACAGACACTCTGGCAGTCCTAAGCTATCAGGGTAAGGTACTTTTGTTAATTTATGCTTGTTCTGTACCACTCCAAAGGGCAGGGCCAGAAGGTAGATTTTAACTCAACGAAAGCAAACATAAATAATTTAAAAACTCTGACTGAGGCTGGGTACAGTGGCTCATGCCTGTAATCCTGGCACTCTAGGAGGCCGAGGCAAGTAGTTTACTTGAGCTTAGGAGTTCAAGACCAGCCTGAGCAAGAAGGACATACCATCTCTTCTAAAAATTAAAAAAAAAAAAGAATAACCAGGCATGGTAGTGCATGCCTATAGTCCCAGCTACTCAGGAGGCTGAGGCAAGAGAATTGCTCAAGCCCAAGAGATTGACACTGTTGTGAGCTATGATGCCACAGTACTCTACTGAAGGTGATAAAATGAAACTCTGTCTCAAAAAAATAAAAAGTACTCTGAATGAGACTTGGAGAGATGGCTCACATCTGTAATTACATCACTCTGGAGGTTTAGACAAGAGGATGAGCTCAGGAGTTTGAGACAAGTCTGAGGAAGTGCTAGACCCTGCCTCTACTAAAAATAGAAAAATTAGCCAGGTGTAATAGTAGGCTCCTGTTGTCTCAGCTACTCAGGAGGCTGAGGCAGGAAGATTGTTTGAACCCAGGAGTTTGAGGTTGTTGTGAGCTAGGCTGTGCCACAGCCCTCTAGCCTGGGCAACAGAGTGAGACTCTGTCTTATTAAAAAAAAAAAAAAGAAAAACTCTGAATGATTAGAACTATCTGAAATTTCAATGAGAGGTCTTATAAGGTAGTGAATTCTCTATTACAGAATGTAAGGAGACGAAAGATAAAAACGAACAAAATTGGATGCCTCTAGGAAAAAAACTATACAAATGAGAAACTAACTCTTGACGAAAAATAAATTAGAAAGTAAAACATTTATGGATAAGATATAAAGGTAAACTAGTAATTGTCTAGCTGCTATCTCAACATAAAGTAAATTACATATAAGAGGAAAACAACAAAAAGTTCTTAAAATAGGAAATTTTGCATAAGAATTTATGTTCAGAAATTTAATAAACAGCCTGTTTTTTTGAGTCAGCATCACACTTCATTGCCCTGAGTAGAGTGCTGTGGCACCCTAGCTCACAGCAACCTCAAATTCTTGGGCTCTAGTGATTCCTTGCCTCAGCCTCCCGACTAACTGGACTACTGGTACCCACCACGACGCCCAGCTAGTTTTTCTAGTTTTAATAGAGACGGAGTCTCATTTTTTCTCAAGCTGGTCTCAAACGGATCCACCCGCCTCTACCACCATAGTGCTAGGATTACCAGTGTGAGCTACTGTGCCTTCCCGGCCCAGACTGGGTTTTTAAAAACATAATCCCAGGATTCTCACAGATCTGATGGCCACCTACCCTGAAAAATGTAAAATAGAGGTTGGAGGAGCAGCAGTTGCTCTCTGGAGGAAAGGGCATCTGCCTAAGAAAGAGCACAGAAGCTGAAGTGAATAGGTGAGATGCAGCCATTAGTTAAAGGTCTTAAAGCACTGTTGGATCCACAGAGCCTATTTGCAATGACAATTGAATATGTTAGCATGATAGTAATCCTGCTACTCAGTATGTGGTAAACAGAATTACTGCATACTTTAATACTGAATGGGCTCGGCGCCTGTGGTTCAAGTGGCTAAAGCGCCAGCCACATACACCTATAATGGTGGGCTTGAATCCAGCCTGGGCCCACCAAACAATGATGGCTGCAACCAAAAAATAGCTGGACATTGTGGCGGGCGCCTGTAGTCCCAGCTACTTGGGA